TTACTAATATAATTTTTATATAACATAAAAAATATTTTTATGTTAACTTACAATACTTATATTAAAAAAAAAAGGGAAAAAAGAATTTATAATATATATTATATATATATAAAAACTGAAAAAAAGGCAATAAAAAATTTGAATATATATTATATTTTTAAAATATCTTTTAAATATTTTTTAATTAAATATAAAATTAATTGCGAAAAAGACAAAAATATTAATTAAAATATTTTTAATATTTATTTTTAAAATTTATATAAAATATATATTATTATATTTATTTTTTTAAATTTATATAACACTTTTTTTGATTTTTTTCTTAATAAAAAAAAATTAAATATACAGCCGCGTCGGGATTGCGGCATTGGAGGGGGCCGGGCCGCGCCGCAATTGCGCTTGATGGGGCCCCGATCGCGGCCGTCTGCGCGTAGAACCGCCGCAATCACGGCGAGCCTCCCTTCGAAAAGCGCCGCAATCGCGGCGCGGCCATAAAAAAAAAAATTAAAAAATAATATTTTTCGTTTACAATAAAAAAAAAAATCGTTTAAAATTAAAAAAAAAAAAAAAAAAACTTATCCGTCCAGCCATTTTTTGCAAAATGTTTTCGAAATTTTTTATAAGTTTTGGTTTTTTTTTTTTTTTTGGTTGAATTTAGTTTTTTGAATGTGAGTGTGTGTGAGGTGCGACAGTGAGGGTAGAGATGTTAAACGGGCTAGCCCTAGCGGTTACGGGCTAGCCCTAGCGGGCTTCGGGCTAAACGGTCCGGGCCTAAAAAGCCCGGATTTAAACGGGCTACCAATAAAAGGACCTAACCCTAATCTTAGCGGGCTTCGGGCTAAACGGGCTAAGCGGGCTTTAAAATAATATTAATAATAGTAATAATAATAATAATAATAATAATAATAATGTATCAAAAAATATCAAAAAAAAAAAAATTATAAAAAATTACAACGACTAATTAACGGTTGTTTTCAACGGTATTTAGTATTTGCCGCTCTATATATACAACTACACATCATATATGAACACATACTACAAACTCTTAAATAATATTTTTTTCAAAAGTAAAAAATATTCGAATTATTACTTACAATTACCATTTCACTACTTATTTTGTACGCTTTGGAAATTTTTACGATATTATATCACTATAAATTATATCACTATGTTTCATGTGTTAGGTCTTTGTCTCATTTGTTTCCTATTAGTCGTTCTGATTGAGTTAAATATTTTGGTGTGGAGTAAAATAAGAATATTGTTAATAATTATGTTTCAAAATCAATATAATCCGTTACAATTCATACTTATATGTGAAGTGGAATAGCAAAATTGTAATATACAATGAATCTAAGAGTATATTACTTGCTGCAAATATTTACAACGCCCAACTCAAGTTAAACGGGCCAGCCCTAGCGGGATTCGGGCTAGCCCTAACGGGTTTCAGTTTAAACGGTCCGGGCCTAAAAAACGCTGATTTAAACGGGCTATCAATAAGAAGCCCTAACCCTTTTTTTTCGTGCTAAACGGGCCGACCCGTCGGGCCAAGAACCGTTTAACATCTCTAAGTGAGGGGGTGCAGTTGCCTTCTTTTTTCGTTTTTTTTTTTTTAATTAGTAAGAGTATTTTTGTCAATTTAAGGTGCAGTATAATAAAATTAGGGTGGCGGTAAATATTAACACCCATAAATAAAATTATCAGGCTGCATCAACCCTGTCGCCCAAATCAAATGTAGATGATGATTGAATTTAAGTCTCTTCCATTAAGAATAATCAAGCCTCTTGTTAGAAGATCTACAAATAATATTTAGAAGATCACAACTAGGCTTAAAATTATCAAACCTCTGATTAAAAGATCAAGGCTTTGGTTCTCAACTCGTGTCGCCGCCAAAGTCTCCTTCAAGCAGGACGTCTCGACGGCCAAGGACGGTCGCTGCCACCATTAGAGCCAATGAAGGGTTTGTACAGCGGGAGGTCGCCGGAGGTTACCGGATTCAGAGTGATGGGAGGTCGCCAAATTTATTTGAAGCTGCCATCTCTGGATCTATTTTGCCGGATTTGATTGAATTTCTAAATGCGTGGGCTGCCGACTGGGACATGGTGGCCGGTGGGTTGCTACGATGGGCTGGGAATGAGAAACAATAAAAAGAGGAAGAAAGGAAAGAAAAATGGGCTGGGCTGAGAAAAAAAGGTAAAAAAGAAAAGAGGAAAAAGTTTGGGTTGGCCTATATAGACCCTTTTAATGTTTTATTTTATTTTATTTTTATTATTATTTTTTTTTTTAATTTTAGCGGGTCAGCCCGCCTAACCCGCGGCCCATGGCGGGGGTGGACCGGGCTGGCCATATAGAGGCCCTCCATCCCGCCCCGCCCTGCCAAACAGCGAGTTTTGGTGGGCTGCGGGCCAGCCCACCCCCCGGCCCGATTTGACATGTCTAGTTATAGTCCTATCATAAAGGATATAAAGTACTACTTTCCAATAACAAAGTTCTCATCACAAGGCATATTCTCTTCAACGAATCAATTTTTTCTGTTAAACAACAGTCCCACATTTATCTCAGTCTCTCTTACAAACTATACTGCCTACTTTAGCCTCACCTATTTACCCCACTCTCAGCAACACATCTTCCCCATCTCAACCCCATCATAACCCACTTAACTTAGGTGGTAGACCGATAGTAGATTTACCACTAGATAATGTTTTGACTGTTATTTTTTAACAATGTTTCTGAGATTTCAATTCATCACCCCACGGTCACAAGATCAAAATCTTTTAATTGTAGACTAAAGGTCTATGCTCTCCAATCATCGGTGCTTTTAGAACCAAAGCACCGATGGTCACAATCTTATATTCATCACCCCATGGTCACAAGGTCAAAATCTTATTATTCCAAAGAACAATTATTATATTTTAATTTCAATTTTTTATCATCAGTAAAACTATTTTTAATGTATCTGATTATTATCTCTTATATGGTAAATTACATTGGTTTCAAGAATAATTTATTTTTTATATATAACAATATAAATCATAAGAAAAAAATTATATTGGCTAATATTAATTCACCAACTTGATTTCTCCTGATTAATTGGAATAAAAAACTCTACCTATCTTGTTACGATTTTATATAAATATTTTTGGATAAGAGGTGAATATTTGTGAAAAAAAAAAATTAATATTATGGTTATACCTTAAAATATGTTGAAATATTTATCGTGATTAAAATATTATCAACATGAATCACGAAAAATCAATCTTCTAATTTATTATAATTATTGCATATATTAATAAAATTATTTAAGGAAACAATATTTTTAATCATATCTGATTTGATCTTATTTGAACACGAAAAATCAATCTTCTAATTTATTATAATTGATACCAATGTGATTATTACATATATTAATAAAATTATTTTAAGGAAAAAATATTTTTTATCATATCTAATTTGATCTTCTTTGAAAATGTGTATATGAGATCAATTAATGCATATAGTTAAAAAGTTTCCAAAAAAATTATGCAATAAATGTTCTCAAAATTTGTTACTACTATTTTTAGTAAATATTATTATTATTATTATTATTATTATTATTATTATTATTATATATATATATATATACCACTAAACTAAAATTTATTTAAAATTTACTTAAATCAGAAAATTAGAGAATGCTTGTAAAGACTATTTTTTTTAACTCAACGTTAACCGAACCACACTATCATCAATATTATCAATATAATTAAATAATATCAATCAATTATTCATACACACCACATCAATTTTAATTCAATATTCAATAACTCACATAATTTTAATTAAGCATCACTTCAAATCATATCGCTCCTATTTTTACATCAAATCAACTTTAATTATTTTATTTAAAATATATACCCACTAACAACTAATCATACCACATTTTTTAAATTAATCAAACCAAACAAAAAACTCCAAATAAATAAAAACAATTATATCCAAGCATCCTAGTCCTTTCTATTTTTTATATTTAAACATATTTAAATATTTTCAATTATAAAAAATATTTAATTCTGGTTGGTCGACTTGTGCATGGTCGGACGACGAAGACGACCGCATTGGGAGCGGGTGGCCGCTTAGGGTGCGGCTGGCCACCATTGTCGGCCACCTAGCGTTCGGTCGCAAGCCTGAAATCGGCCGCACTAGCGCCGGCTGCGATCTGTTGCCGGCCACAATGTCGGCAGGCCGACTTGTATCTTTAAATTTTTTTTACTAATCGAAAATCAAAGGAATCATGATATTTTTGCTTTGACCGTAACGGGGATTGGGAGGCAGCGATGAATGGAGAGAGTTAACTTTTTTTTTAAAAAAATTCTAAATTGTGGAAAGGGTAAAATCATCGGCAGTTGATAGTAATAAGAGCACCCACAATGCTTTAGGTCTCTTTTTGTGTATATGACAAATAAATTGACTTAAGTCTATAATGACATATACAAACTCAAGTTAAAAAATTTAAAATCTATCCAATGCAAAAAAAGTACTAAGTCTAGAATATCGAACAACCAATAAAAATATAATAATATTATATACATACAAAAAAATTTATTTTGCCTATTAAAATAAAAAATATAAACAATTATTGATTGGATAAGTTTGTACTTGAGTCCAAAATAGACTCAAACGTAGGTTTGGTCTCTTTTTTTTCTTTTTTTTAAAATACCCAAAATAGTATTAGAACAATGCAATTCACTTTTTTTATTTTATACCCGCCATTTTAAGCCACGTGGACAAGGCACCTTCTGGATGCATCACCATTTCACTAGACCCAACCCAAACCCAGAAAATTCCCTCAAATCTCCAGAAACTTCTCCACTCTTCCTCTCCACAGCCTTTATAAATCACCACCCCGCTCTCCGCCGACCCAGCAAATACTAAATACCTTTGAAATCAAATATAAAAAATATCCTCTAAGCATCCACATAATCCCCCATCTATCAATCAATTAAATAAGAAAAGACGAAGGGAAAATGGACATCAGATTCATGGGGATTGACGCGCCGCTCCTCCACGCCCTCCACAACATCCTCGACCCGGACGACGGCGACGCCGCCAAATCCGGCGGTGCCCCGACACAGACCTACGTCCGGGACGCCCGGGCCATGGCCGCCACCCCTGCCGACGTCAAGGAGTACCCTGGCGCCTACGTCTTCGAGGTCGACATGCCCGGCCTCAAGTCCGGCGACATCAAAGTTCAGGTGGAGGATGACAACGTTCTCATCATCTCCGGCGAGCGCAAGCGGGAGGAGGAGAAGGAAGGGGTCAAGTACCTGCGGATGGAGCGGAGGGTTGGGAAATTCATGAGGAAATTCACCTTGCCGGAGAATGCGAACACGGACAAGATCTCCGCCGTCTGCCAGGACGGTGTGCTGACGGTGACGGTGGAGAAGCGGCCGCCGCCAGAGCCCAAGAAGCCTAGGACCATTGAAGTTAAGATTGCTTGAGAGAGAGTGCAATTTCAAGGATTTTAATCAGTGTCCTCTTCTCTGCTTTTTTTTTTTCCTTTTATTTCTTCTATGTGACATATATTGGTGTTGAGGTTTTTGAGGAGCGTGAGCGAGTATGTTGGCTTTTGAGCAATTGCACTCTGTTTTGTTGGGTTCAGTGGTATTTATTTTTCTGTTCTGTATTTTTCTTTTCTTTTTTTTTTTCCCCTAAATGTCGATCTCCAAATGATCAAATCATGCAAATGATGGGTTGTTTAAGTATATATCAAACTTGGCTTCGCTCGCGGCCAATGGGCTGGCGGTTTTCATCGGTTGGACGAGCCTCCTTCAGGCGCGAAGGTTTGGTTAGCACACGATGTGATAGGAGTGTTGATAGGAGTGTCTTATTCGCGTAATGTGTTAATAGCGTAGTAGTTAGGCTATTGCCTCCTTTTCTTGTACCCAAAAAAAAAAAAAAAAGTGAAGACATTGTTACACAACATATGTGCTAATTTTTCTAAAGCAATCTATTTTTTTTTTTTTGTACAAAGAAGGAGACAGAATGCCTAAGAACCATTAGACAATTAGACAGTTATATTTCGTGGATAAGCAAATGATTGGATTGATTTTGGTCAAGTCTTGCAAATGATGGTTTGTTGAATACGACGTTCTTATTTATCTTTTATTTTGTTTTTCTTTTTTTTCTCTGCGTATATTTATAAATATATATTTTTAGAAAATGTTACCGTCTCGTTACAGAATTATTTCTTTGGAGTTTGTAATCGATGGATCAATTATTTCGACGGTTACCTGACAGAACAGAATAATTTGAGATATTGCATCTCCTTATATTTTTTAGCGTTAATTGCTAAATAAACTTTAAACTTTTTGCGTTTGGCAATTATATCCCAATTTTTGGGTAATTGCAATATAATCTCGACCTTAATTTACTTCTTGTAAATTTGAGTGCAAAGTGATTGATTTTAGGGATTCGTGGACCTATTTTGTGTCCAAGTCTTCTATTGACACGGGTTTTTATGTTATCCACGTAGCAAGTTGACAATTTTCATGTATTTAACGTATATCAACTCACAAAGCTGAAAATTCCACGTCTATGTAAGCTACTGATGATGAGTCTCTTCCTAGATCTGGAGAGAACTGGTAAATATGAGCTCCGATCTGTCGAACTGCTTTCAAATCGACCAGTTTTTTGAAGGTCCAACCAGTTTTAGGTTCGACTTGCAATAAGTAAATTGAGGTCGAGATTATATTGCAATTACTCAAAGATTGGGACAAAATTGCCAAACACAAAAAGTATGAAGTTTATTTATCAATTAATCATATTTTTTATTAGTTGTTTTATTTTTGGTAGCATATTGTTATTATATGATTTTTTTTAATATGATTCTTATTTGAAAAGAAAAGAAAGAGATAAGTTTGCGTCTTGGAAATCAAGAGGTGCATGCGTTTTATATTAGGCTATGCTTTTAGTAAAACAGTTTGATAAGTTTATGACTGATAACTGAAAAGTTAGTTTATATAATAAAAGTGTTCGGTAAAATTAGCTGATAAGCTAGTTGAAATAAAAAATTCAACTAATTTATTTCAAAAGCTACCTAAAAAAGTTTATCAAATAAGTTTGAGTTTTTTAAAAAAGCTTGTCCTACCAAACAAGATTTATTTGAATACAGTGAGCTTATAAGCTAACTCAATAAGCTATAAGCTAGCTTATTTGTCTACCAAGCTTTAGTAGAGAGCATCAATATTATTTCTATACCTTTGATTTTTGTTGTCTAGGAAGTGGCAACCTGGGGGAAGATAAGGTCAATTAGAGATGTAAACGAACCGAACGTTCGAACAAAAGGTCGTTCGAACTCGTTCGCGTTCGACAAAAGCTCGTTTGTTGGTTAATCGAGCCGAGTTCGAACACAAAATTAGGCTCGTTTAATAATCGAACGAACACAAGCTCGTTCGTGAACGTGCGATTATTTTCGCGAACATTAATTTAATATATTTTTTTTTATTTTTTATATATTCACATTATATTTTTATTAAAAAATCTAAAATTTAATATAATTTTATTTATTTTCTATATATTTACATAATATTTTTAATAAAAAAATATAATATATAAAATTATTTTTATTTTATTTTTTTCTTTTCGAGTTCGAACGAACAAATTTTGAGTTACTCGAACGTATTTAAAAAGTTTATGTATTAAATTATTCGAACAAGAACGAACTCGAACTTTGACGAACAATTAAACAACGAACTCGAACACGATTTTTTGCTCGAAAAATAAACGAATGAACACGAACACTGTTCGAACGTAAACGAACACGAGCTCGAACAGCCCAAGTTCAGTTCGGTTCGGTTCGTTTACAGCACTAGCATCAACCATATTTTTGTTGTTAGAGCAACAACGTGCGGCAATCTATCTTGAGGAGAAGAACACAAACAGGCTTGTGTTCCTTATTGCTACTCGCACGTCATAATTGGGATTATTGTGTTCTTTTTTTATAGTTTGATTTAATATAGTGCATCTCGTTTGAAATTGCGATTTATTTTTTCTTTATTCACTAGACGTGTTGTGAATATTTTGGATTTGTTTAAAAAACATTGTAATTGATTTGTTCTAGTGAATTTTTGGCTTGTTGTCTTAGTCTACAGGGAATTTTCACTTGTAAGCTAAATTTTGATTCCCTCGTGTATATTTATTTTCTGTTGCGTCTTTAATTCTTTATTGATTAGTAATATTATTTAATTATAATTTTAATATTGTTGAGGAGGAGGGTTATGAGTTGAATTTAAATTATATTTTAAGTTAAAATGTGATTAATCATAATTAATTAGATATGATTTACATTCGAAGACCCTCTAATTTTCCTAAGGGTAGGGGACTAAGGTATTTAATTTTCCTAAGAATATTTTCCCAGTTCGGATCTTAAATGAATTTTAAAACTTTGTCATTTGAAATTATGATGTGTGAATTACACAATGAATTTATAATTCTTTTCAAGAATTTATTCAATAGTTTGAAAGTTATAATTTATATTTCAGAAGATATGAATTTATTCTAAATTCCAAAAATACCCTAAAAGAAATAAGACGTGAATTTAATGGAAATATATGAGAATTAACAAAAAAGAACATGAGAATTGAAGATAAACATTCATTATCCAAGAGCTAATTTAGCTCGCCATCAGTAGCACTACAAAAAAAAACTCTTACATTCCAACGAAAATTTTTCGTTGGAATTTTTTATATTTCTGTTGGAATAGCTATTCCAATATATATTCCTACGTATAAAAATCCGTTGGAAAAACGGCTGTTGGAATAACAAATATCTAACGGAAAATCTTTTGGAAATAAATTCCTACAGCTATTCCAACGGAAAAAATCCGTTGGAATTCCTCAACTATCCAATACTTATTCCAACATAAAATTACGTTTGTTGGAATATTCATTGGAATTTCTAACAAAAATTTTTTGCCGTTGAAATAGTAGAATTTTTTTTTTTTTTTTTTTTTTTTTTTTTTTTTTTTTTTTTTTTTTTTTTTTTTTTTTTTTTTTTTTTTGTAGTGTACATAATTGCTCCAATGATATATATTCGCCTGACTTTGGTCACCAAATTAAATATCCATTTGACCATTGCTTTATTGTAGTTAAAGTGAGCATTCCCCAAGGATCTTCAAATTTTTACATACATAAAATAATATTAGGATTGCATCATAAATTAAATATACAAATAACATATAGCATTGTACGAAAATTATTATACGCTTTCAGTTTGTTCACATAAATATTAATAAAAATATTATATAATATTTATATATTATTGAACATGATTGATTTAAAATTTTGGACTAAACTATGTTTGTCGTAATATATTATTAGTAATATTCATATTTATTAATTTCAAGAATCGACCTATTCCAGTCAAATTCCCGTAACCTGTTCGCCCAAGTTCAATTACCATATTTTTTGATTATTTTACAATGACATGAAAGTAATTCAATAAACATGGGCAATAACTCAATTTAATCAGTTTGGGACCCTTTGTGTTTTTGGTTTGTATCTTTGGTTTTGGTTCTTAGTTGCTTTCTGTTCTGTGGCTTGTTTTGTTTTTCCGGTGATCTTCTAGGCTTTTTGCAGTGGAGGATCTTTGTTTTCTTCCTAGTTTGGTTAGTTTGGTTTATTGAGGTTCTGACCGCATTGTTACGTGTACTCCTCTCAGTTTTTAGTTTGTTAGAGTTTCTTGTACTCAAATTTCGGTTCTTAGTTGATATATATGCCTCTATCGTTTCGAGAAAAAAAAAAAAAAAAAAAAAAAAAAAAAAAAAACTCAATTTAATCAATCCCATTGGTTCAAAGGTTTTTTTTTTAATATAAAAATAACTTTTGATTCATGTAGTAAATAGTCATAATAAATGCAAATATATTACAATTGTGAATTATAGAATTAAAGACAAATTAACTACTTCTTAAAAATGCTTATACATGTATAATAATAGACACAATATTTCTAAAAAGTCAAAATTAATTAATAGATTGTGAAATTTACACGATCATGTGAATACTAACATGGGTCATTATCGAGCAAAGATATTTGGTATATAATTAATGCATTTTAATTAAATTTTGTTATTAATATATTAATTGTAATAAATGAAGGGTGTTACAATCATGGTTCTAAAAATCGAACAGGACTGGCCGATTCAACCAGTTCGACGGGGAACATGCCTTCATTCTAGTCCAGTTTGCTTAACACCGGACAAATCGCTAAACCGGAATATGTTTAACTGGATCAACGGTTCCAACTTTTGAATTTGTGAAATGTTGATTATGGAGCCATTTAAATATCACACATTTTTTAATTGTGCTTCCAATATTGGGTATATTCACAAATAAAGGCACTTACTGAAATTATTTGCAAGTATTAAGCCTTACAAGTAAAATTGTAGTTTTTTTTTTCCAAACATCAAATTTCATTATATAACTCAACAGACAGTACAAATGCAAATACATACCGAACTCCCAAATACAAGCAAAATTGTAGTCATTAAAATAAAATGTACCATTATTTTGAATTGGACTGTATATATTCTCAATTTACCCAAGAAGAAAGAATCAATTTATTTTGATTCGTTACGTATACATTTTTTTAATCAATAATAAAAAAAAAGCACTTCAAAATTGATTTAACAATTACATTAAATTTGTTTCTATTCTCACTTAAATATAGATTTTAAATTTAAAAATAAAATGAAAACTAAAATTATCAACATTATTTCAATACTGTCTGTTGTATCTATTATTGAACGTTTATTTAAAAAAAATGTCATGCACTATAGCTAATAATAAAAATATATATAACTATATATTATACGCATAAAATAAATAAAAAAATATATATTAATTAAATCGGTTCGATTGATTACGGATAGAACCGCGGAAACGGGTTTTTGGCAACCTTCATACCCGTCCCGCTGCGTGATAAAGAAAATATCACCCGGTGAACCCCACCTGCAAATTTCCCGAGAGACGTGTACCAAAATAACATCACGTAGTTTTATAGCTATCCTATTTGGGAAGGCGAAAACAACGTCACTCCAGAGTCCTCCTCCGATCTCGGAAAATTTCCCCGGCAATGGCGACTACTAACGGCGGTGTCGTGGACACGATCGTACAGGTGCCGTACAATGCCTCCGTCCGCCTCGCGCTCGCCTCGCTCGAGCGGAATCTGCTGCCAGACGCCGTCGTGCGCCGCCTCACCAGGCTCCTGCTCGCCGCCCGCCTCCGCTCCGGCTATCGTCCCTCCGCCGAATTGCAGCTGTCCGATCTCCTACAGTTCGTGCATTGTAAGACGTCTTTCTCAGTTGAATTTTGTGCTCTTCGTTTCGTGGAATTGCAGACGGTTTTTTTGCTTTTTATTCCCGTTATTTGAGTATTTAGGCCATAAATTCATTGCTCTTCTCGAGCATTATCAGTTATGAAAATGCTGATAATTCTATAGTTGCTGTCAAGGGAATTGAAAACCATGTCAATTTTATAGAAATGCGAAAAATTGACAGACATTTTTTTACTGAATTAAGCACAATTCGCAAGAAAAAAATAGATTCATAGCATTGATGGCTTTATCCTGCAGCTCTGAAGGATATGCCGATAGCAATCAAGACAGAAAGGCCAAAGTCTCAACACTATGAACTTCCGACGTCGTTCTTCGAGCTGGTTCTCGGAAAGCATTTGAAATACAGGCAACACATTCTGCGAACTTTTTGTAAAATATGCACCTTTTCGTTTCTCGTATGTCCTTCATTCGATTGTGGTGTCAAGAAAACGAAAACTATGTTATTTCACAAACTTAAGCTAGGAAATCAAAAACTCTACTAGCATATATGATAGTTAACTTTAATATTTGTTTCTATTTCGTTTAATCGAAATATAAAAATAGTCGGGCGATGTGCTTCTGATTTTGGAAAGTTTAGCCTATCGAGTTACTTAATGCAACTTATGACCATAGAGTTTGTCACCATAGAGTTTACAAACTCTTAAGGGAAAGGTAACAGCTTGTGGCTGGAAAAATTCCTCTATTACAGAACTTATTGTTAATGGTCATTGTGCAGTTGCTGCTACTTTCTAGAGAAGTCGAGTACCTTAGAAGATGCCGAGAAGGCAATGCTAGAGTTGTACTGCGAGAGGTCACAGATAGAAGATGGCCATTCGGTTCTTGATGTTGGCTGTGGCTGGGGATCTCTTTCTCTATACATAGCACAAAAGTATCCCAGTTGCAAGGTCACCGGGATTTGCAATTCGGTCACCCAAAAAGCACATATCGACGAGCAGTGCCGGTAGTTTTGGCGACCACTCTCTTGAGTGCTTTGCAGTTTGTTAAAGAGAGATAATTTTTTGTGCTCTTGTTCGTAATTAGGCAAGATTATTACCTATGGATGGGTTGTATTTGTTGACAGGGTTCTTGAGCTGCAGAATGTGGAGATCACTGTTGCCGACATCAGCACATTCGAAATGGAAGCTTCCTATGACAGAATATTCTCCATTGAAATGTTTGAGGTTTACCTTGATCAACACCTGTCTCCAGCACAAAATAAGATGGTTTTGATTTAATTCCCAGCTACGGTCATGAATTTCCCCTATTCCTTTGAAACAGCACATGAAAAATTATCGGGACCTTCTCAAGAAGATATCGAATTGGTTGAAATCGGACGGCCTTCTGTTTGTCCATCATTTTTGCCACAAAATATTTGCTTACCACTTTGAGGTAATCAAATAAGTTATCATGAAAACTTCATCAAATATTTTACAATTTCGTTTTAAAGTTGTAATTGACAATTGCATCCTTTAAATATATGTAGTCTTAACCGATTTAACCGGAGTATTGAAAAATCTACGTTTTGCACATTAGGATGTCAATGAGGATGACTGGATCACGAGGTACTTCTTCACCGGAGGCACAATGCCCTCTGCAAACCTGCTCCTCTACTTTCAGGTGAGCTGTCGCTTAGCATTTTCGAGCTTGGTGCTTTAAAATGTTGGAATGTGCTAAGAATTTGTTAGATATGCTTGAAGAAAGTGAGTATGAAATTAGTACATAGTACAGAGTAATTCGTATTTTTTCAAAGAGATTACAAAGCGCGTATTTCGTGCAGGATGACGTATCTGTTGTTAATCACTGGCTTGTGAACGGCAAGCATTATGCACAGACAAGGTAAAGGGTGTGAAAAATAACGCAACAATTAGCTTAATCTCTTGCGATATAGTCAAATTAGAAAATTAACTAATATATGATTTGGCCAATTAATCTTGATTGCAGTGAAGAATGGCTTAAGAGGATGGACCATAACATGAGCTCTGTGAAGCCGATAATGGAGTCCACTTACGGCAAAGACTCTGCCGTCAAGTGGACCGCCTACTGGAGAACGTTTTTCATCTCAGTTGCCGAGCTATTTGGCTACAATGATGGAGAAGAATGGATGGTGACACATTTTCTGTTTAAAAAGAAATAGAACTTTTATGGCCTATGATGATAAAATTTACGTTCGGTGAAGTTTGTTTTTTTTTTTTTTCTTTTTTATGTATTATGGACATGCATCTGTGCTTAGTCTTAAATATGTGTTCAGACACACAGGATGATAGGCTGAAAACAAACAGAAAGAAATAATCTGTTCAATTGTCTGCATTCTATTGGATTAAGTTAGAGCCTTAAATGAACCGAATTTTCGGTAACAAACATTTCTCGAAGTATGTGCAGCATGGAACGGGATGTTGAGGAGGCTGAAAACAAAAAGGGTTTGAGAAACAATTTTTTCAATTGTCTGCATTCTAATGTATAGAAGCTAGAGCTTTAGATGAATAGAATGTCGGTGAACAAAAGCTTAAACAGTTCATTCGAGTTCGAGTAAAGTGTTACAAACTGAGTGTTATGAAATTACGCTGAGTAACCTATGAACTGGATATTGTGTTTTTCAGTTTGTCAACTTGAACTAAGACAGAAAAGAACAAACACAAAAAGTAGTTGCGGAATGAGAATCAGTTGAGGCAAGGGCTGCTTTTTGAGATAGACAAATATGTTTCACACAGAGTTCGATTGTCCAAATGTTTTATAGTAAGAATGTTTTTAAAAGAATGCAAGCAAGGCGAAGGGCAATCGCCCACGAGGTGAGGTGGGGCACGATATGTATAGTGCTCGTTGGCCAAGAAGGCGAACTCTTCTGTCGACTAACCCTTGTGGATACCCGAGTCAACCGGATCGTGAAGCCCCTGTCCACTCCTTTCTAAGGCATTCCTTCCCCTCAACTCTTTGAATGAATTTTCTCTTGGAAGACGCCTACGCAACGAAGAGAAGTAGTTTACGAGCTTGCTTAGCTCGAACATGCCAACAGCATTTCGTTCACTTACGCTCGACTACCAATATACGCGATACCTTGTTTGCTCCTTTTATTGGATCCGAGGGTAGATCAAAAGTGACGGATTCAGATGTTTCGTGTCCAAATATTCTAAATCGGCTACATAATTATTTATATAATCTTTACCTACAAAACAACTATCAACTTAATTAAATAAAACCTATAATCTATTAATATATAAAGAGGAGATGATATTTATTTGAAAAAAGATCTAAAAAATCAACAACAAAAAAGAATTCATTTCTCGCCTAAACAATAAAATTTACTAAACAATGTAATATTTTTTGGGCACAAATTGAAGAGCACCGCGTGTATTGTATTTGAATTGTTTCATTTCACATTCTTTTGCAAGAAAATTGGCACTATTTCGGCCTATTTGGAAATATGGGCCCTAAATTTGTGTTGTGTCTATCCTATATACCCTTTATCATTTTAAAAAGTACACCTAAAATCAAATTATTTTGGTAATAAAAATTGATTATTTTGGTAATTAAAAAAAAGTACGATTTTAAATCATTTAAACAATTAGAATAATTCTTTCCAATCTATTTTATGTCAAAAAAAAATTACAATTTAAACAATTAGAATGATTCCCCAATTTATTTTATACCAATAAGAAATTACAAAAATATTTAACTATAAACAATATTCTACCTATTTAAATAGTACAATGTCACCATTATATTGCTTTAAACAATATTTCACCAATTACAACAGTACATTGTTTACCAATTACAACGGTACAATTTAAGTGTATGACTTTTGGTTCATTTTCTTTTTTTATAATCACAATCAAAACTAATTTCAAAACTGATTATCACTCAAATCCATACAAACGTAATTGCAAAATAAATACGTTTAATCGCCACAAAATCCCAAACATATGAGTAATAAGCATAATGGCAATACAATCTCACATCCAACATTCACAATGTTGGTTTGTAATCGTTTAAATGATAATTACGAATAAAAATACTAAAACCACAATCCTAAAGAAAACATTAATAATTTGATGATATTGAAACTCTTATTGACAAAGATTTGACAAAATAAAAATTCTAAAACAAAAAAAAATGTGCAAACGTCCACTATAGTTAGGAAGTTAAATATGCATATAAAATATCATATTTAGGTCGCCAAAAAAATATTTACACTAATCTAATTAACAAAATAAATATTACTTTAACCTAACTAATATTATGAAATTGTATACTAAGAAAGTAAAATACTTTCCAAGATTCTTGCTAAATAAAAATCTGAATTCCACGGAATTTTTTGGAATTACATGAAATCTTTTTATGGTATTATTGTGCACTAAAAGTCCTTTTTTTAATTAAATTTATAAACTAAATATCCAAAAGTATTTGCATTTATCTACTTAACAAATGAAATATTAGTAAATCAATTAATATATAAAGAGTCAATGATATCTATTAATATATAAAGAGATTAATATATAAAGAGGTAATGAAATAGCAACTAAAAATTAACAAAAAAAAAAATGATTTTCCACCTAAAGTCTTTAATATATGGAATAATTTTTTTGGCCAAAATTTAAAAAATCTCACCTAAATCAATGTAATTAATGTACAGAATCACTTTGGTCGAATATTGTGGCTATTACCCTTATTAGTTGCATGATTTTAATTTGGAATAAAATATATTAACAAAACTTGCAGTTATTACCCTTATTAGTTGCATGGTTTAAATTTAGTATATAATGTATTTAAGAAAATTAAAAAGATTTTTATTTAAAATTAAAAATAGAAATAGAGTTAATCATAATTTGTGGGTCAATATTAACTTGGACGTAAATGAAATAGTCAATTGTTCATAAGTTAATAAATTACTCAATAACTTATGGGTCAATATTATTAGACGTAAATGAAATAGTCAATTATTTATGATTTAATATTTTACTCAACTACTTAATTTTTTTTATTTGAAATAATGAAACAATATAAATTTTATATCTATATTTATTATTCAGATAGATTGTTAAATATATGATAACTTTTTACCAAAATAATTGTTTTATGGAATCACATTATAGTCAAATCGAAATTCTGAATAAAAATTATGAAATGATACTTATTTTGAAACGAATATAATGTAATTTATTATCAGTTATGTGCACCACAAGGGTTGTGTACTAATTTTAAATAGACAGTTTTATGTAATTTTGTACAATTTAAACTTTATATAACATTTTCAATAAATTAAAATAGGTAATTGTATTACAAGTCGATTCTATATTTTTAATTTACAAATATTACTTAATAAGAATTTGAATTTATAAATATTATTAGATATCTCTTACTTGTGCACTGCACGGGACTCATACTAGTTGACTAAAATAAAAAAATACTGAAATTCGAGTTATATGAAAATTATGCAATTAATAATTTATTTTTTTATTTAAATAATATTATATTATTTCCATCTATAGTAAGTAATTAAGGCTTTTGGTGGAAAATACTTTGTAAAAGGAAATTACCTTTATTCTTATTTTATGTATATAGATGTTGTAGAAAATCACGGTATATGGTTAGTTACCAAAAAAATAAGGAGAAAGAATATCATTTTTACTGTAATAATTATTACAAAATAATTTTCTAATTTGATGCCACTTTATTTATATATAAAGTCATGCTATTAATCGAACTGCACGATTTGCATCATGTATGTATAATTTGATTTTTTTTTATTTTTAATTTTTAAAATATTGAAGTAATTTTTACTTTATTTCCTTTAATAGTAAGTCGACTAATTTAATTACAAAGTCAAAGTTATTTATATTATTTCCACAACATTTTTTAATATATATATATATAGTATAATTCACAAACTAGTATTTCGAAATAAAGTATGCGAAGTTGATGGAAAGTTTTTACGTTTTTATCCAATCCCCTATATAATTCTCGAATGTGTTGAGTCTAAATGGCAAGCTCGGAATCCTATGTGGTAAATTTTTAAGCTTTGTTATTTGGCTTTGATTAATTTTATTTTATTTCCCATCAAAAAATAACTAGGCTTGGAATATCCATAAATCTATATCTAGATAATTACTAGCTGATGCATTTAATAAAACATTTAATAAAACCTATTTTCATTTCATTCCAAAAAAAATTACATTTTTTTAATTAATTACTCACTAATTTACTAAAATTGTTACACCTTACTATATATATATATATATATATATATATATATATATATATTATTTATTTTTTAGACCAGTTACTAAATTAATTCTAAATTTGGTAGCAAAATATTCATAACGGCTAATGTTGGAACTTAAAGTTGTTTGACACATTTAGAGCTGTAACTGTTATATTTAGTTGCATTGTTGGAAGAAAAATATGATTGACACATATTGTTTTTTATTAAAAATCAAAAACACCAATAATTTTTTTATTTATGTTAATTTTCTTAATATATGCCACAAATATATAAATTAGTTTATTCAGTTACTAATGTAAACATTGCATGGTTAAAATAAAATTAAATCTTAATTATTTTGAATGATAAAAATAACTTAAGAAAAAATAATAATTTTTAAATGATAGAAGTACATGTTTAATTAATAAATACAAACAAAAACGTGTTTTATATTTGTGCAAATGCATAGGATCAAATACTAGTATATTGGATATTTATGTTCCTTTTTAACAACATTAATTATGTTTTAATATAATTTCTATCGTAGACGTAGTTTATAAGTTATAATATTTTCCCAATCTTTATTTTTCTTCATATCTCTTTAAAAATTATAACAAATTTCTTAAGTTAAATTATAAATATACTTAAAATTTTATAAATTTTTTATTTATTAATAATTATTTATATTAATATATCAAATTAATCATCTGTTAATAAATTTTGATTTGACATCTATATTATACATACAAAATAAATAAATAATTTCATTTATCTATATAATTAAAATTAAATTATCTTGTAATATTAATTCTAAAAAAAATTATTTAATCTACCTTATTACAATGTAGTTATCTCATATAAAAAATTATAATATAAGTGGTAAGTCGTGTAACTGACCGTGTCATTCTAAATATAAATAATAATATATTTTTTCAAACAAAAGCATTTAAAAACTAAATAAATATTTGTTGTTATTATTATTTAATTTAAAAATAATTTTATTAAAAAGTACTCGTGTAGTACATGGTATTATACTAGTTTATCATATATTTTGGAAAATTTGTTAATACCACTCTTTATTGATTACCATTTACATATATTTTGGAAATTTTGTTAATATCATTCTTTATGGGTATAACAATTATTGTATTCTTGTCATTCTTAGCAACTTTCAATTACTTCATTTTCTCAGATTTCATAAATAGTATATCTAATTCTTTCCAATTATTCAATAATAGAGAAATAGTTTTTTTTTAATTAATGTATTACTAGTACAACACCCGTGTATTACACGGGTGCTTGCTAATTTTTTTCTTAAAATCTAAAATTAATGAGACAAATGTAGCTGGAATTTTAAATATATTTTACAAAAATATATATATTATTATATATTTAGTATGATACTTTTTATTTGTGCGACTTATCTGTGTCATATTATAATAATTTTTTAACTTACAACATATTACTACATTAAAAATAAATATACCAATTGATAAATAATTTTACTTTTCTACTAAATTTTAATAAATATTATTATTCTTTATTATTATAAAGATAAATATAATTTATTTATTTCATATATACAATATGGATGTCAAATCGAAGATCATCAAAATATGATTAATTTGATATATAATATATGTAAAACCGATAAGAAATACAAAAGTTATCAACTTTTAAAATACATTTACAATTTAATAGCTAATTGAAGGAAACAAATCAAAGTTAGGGATATATTAGTCACTTAGTGCCTCACTATATAAAATTACAAATAATTAAAGGGTTATATTAGTACAATTGATATTAAAATACCTAAGTTAGATAAATAATATTTATGGAATGTCCGAACCTAGATTATTAATTATTAATATATCAATATTATTTGTCCAAACCTAATTACGAAGCATGATTCTTCGCCAAGTAGGATTACGAAGCACCAGAATCAGCCACGTAGGCTCAGCGCATTCGGGAATTATATACAGGGAGGGTTATACCTAACATTTTATTAAAAAAAAATCCTATTTCTGATTCATGAGATACCTTCTCATTAAAAGTGGATTATTGAAATCAACTGTTCCTCAATAATATATCACAATAAATCTTCTACTATTTATTTAAATCCCCTCAATTTTATTCAATCTTCCCAATCAGATTTCCTGCATTTTGCAAAGCAACCCTCACTTTATAAGGGCCAAATTGAAACACCAAGATTCAAACATTCAACTTCTAGCATTGGGCACAAAGTAAAAACATGAAAAAACACAACTTTTTACTATGCTTCATCCTTTCTTGCATCCTTGTGGTAACAATGGCCTCTGAGAAAAAAGCATGTACTTTTACAAAAAAGTACACAGTTTATCTAGCCAACAACCTCCCTCCAAACACTCAACCCTTTGTGGCTCATTGCGCATCGAAAGACGATGATTTGGGGAATCATACGGTTGCGCTTAATCAAGACTATCACTGGGATTTTTGCGACAATTTCTTCGATAAGACGTTGTTTTTTTGCCATATTTGGTGGGAGCAAAAGGATATAGCGTTCGATGTTTTCCGTGAAAAATATTATGGTAAGGGAACGTGTGAATTGGATACGTGTTATTGGGTTGTGAAGAGCGATGGTATCTATTTCTCGAATTATAATCCTCCGAGAGGCCTTGTGAAAAAGTATAGTTGGTGATTTGAACAAACAAGAGAGATTTGTGATGTTACAATGAAGTAATGTATAATGTATGACAATTGGTACATCACTTTGATCAAATGATAGTGAAAAAACTTCATTTTATGTAATGTTGTTTCAAGTTCTTTTCTTTTCCATGAGCCAAGGTATGGATTTTATAGCATATGATTAAACGGCGTCTTATCGATGATTTCTATTTTTATTCCTAGTATATTTGAGCTACTCGAATATTGCAGTTTCTCACAGTCAACATGATTTTCATTCATGATGTCATGTTCACAGGCGCGCGAGCATATATATTGTTCGTGCGCAGAAAGATTTGAATAACAGTTGAACTTCAGAAGAAAAACTACAAAATGGCCTGAACAATCCAATCCCACAACTTCGGACTGAAATTGTTTGGTCTAAATGGCAAATCGTGAAACGACCGTGCCATTGTAAAACGATCAAACGCCAAAACAAAAATTCGAGACAGCAAATTGACTCACCCTTGACCATGAACACTATGCCGAATGTAAAAACTTGGACAGGCAAAAAGGAAGAGTAAAATCACATCAAGAACATAGAAAATTTGCATGCCAAAAGACAAATTCGCGCGACATTGATATGATATGAAGAAATAGATATCAAATCACATTATTAGAATTTCTAATTCAATATACATATGGCTCAAACATTCCGAACAACTCACATAACCTTTAGGTCGGAGGTAGACGCCATAACCGAGCCCTTCTGCTTCTAACAACACAACTAAATACTATAGCCCTCAGCCAAAACATAAAAGGGAGCAATGAAAATAAATCAAAAAATTAAGATTGCATTCTATAACTTCCACAAGAATTAAATTTCCAAACTAACGATAATAATACTTAACATGAAATAATCGAGGGTGATCGAGTGGGAAAATAACTTCTTCAACTTATATATTCCTATCTAGCTAGGTCCTGGTCTTGATCTTTCTCTGGGCCTTCAAGTCAACCACAACAACAGTTATATTATCCTTGCTCCCCTTCTGAAGGGCCTTATTGGATAGGTATTCGGCCGCTGCCTGGGCTGCCGGGTCCACTCGTTCTCCTCTTTCCAGAGATGGCATGGGCCCATTATTCTTGTGCCAAAGGATTATTCTCTTACGAGCAATGTCACAAACCTCCTCGTTGCTCATCACATCCCACAAGCCGTCACTGGCTAGAATCAAGCACTCGTCTTCCCTGGCTCGTGGGGCGAACGTGACCTCAGGGTCCGGGATGATCGACGGTTTTAAATATCTGTCGCCTGTTAAAAATGCAAAGGATTGACAACATAGATTAGCTCTAAAGACATAAGAAAAGATGTATGAACATATATTTCAGAAAAAAAAATACAAAGAAAAAAAGGGGGACAACTTAAAGGATATACCAATGGACCGAGACATAGCAAGGACACCGAAAACACGATGCCCATTCCACTGTATCACCTTCCCTCCAGCCGCTTCAATTCTTGCATATTCATCTTCTCGGTTCGGCTAAAACCACAGCATATAAATATATCAGACTATATTCTTGTTTTTTTTTTTAAAAAAAAATAAAATGTAGGAAGAAATATATACAAACAGCCTTTAAAATTACCTTGTGATCGGCCGAGAGGGCAACTGGCTCTTTGCCACGGCACAGCACAGCTCTCGAGTCCCCACAGTTAGCCACTATTATATGCGATGAACAAACAACGGCCACAACAGCAGTTGAGCCGACTGTTTCTGGTGCAACAGGCTCGACTCGGGTTTTCCCTCCAATCTCATCATCAACCTTCAGAAAGCATTTCGTGAAAGCCCTTCTCCAATTCTCCTCACAGTTTTCCTTATTAATTCCATCGTTCGGTTCGGCCATGATAGTTTCCAGCTCCTCAGTCAAGGCACAATGAACACGATCACGGCAATAGTTAGCCACCTAAAAAA